AGAAGCACAGAAGAAGACATCCAACACGTATAAGTCAGCTTTAATATGTTTGGTATATCTTTTTATATGTAGAAGACCGTTGTGGTCATGGGTGCTAAGATGATTATAATTGTTAAATGTGCATTTCCATGGATTTGCGTTGGTGTGTGTGTGTAAATGCAAAAGCATACATAAACAAGAGAAAGGGTAGGAAAAAAACATTGTGTTTATCTTGGTGCTATGGGAGGAATATTAAGGAAAGGTAATAATGTCTGTTGACCCACTTTCAAACCATTTTTTTTGCACAATGAAATCTGAAGCCTGACATTTTCACTGGTCTTTCTACCCTCAAAATCAATCAGCATCTGTAATTTGGGAAAGATAAAATACTGATGGAAGCCCTTCGCTTCCATTGCTAGACCCAAGGTTGCACTATATGGTCAAAAGTTTAAGGGGGTCCAATCTGTGAGGTGGTCTAACTGTGAGAGCAGGGAGGCAGGCAGGTGATAAGAAGAAGGGAGTCCGAACCAAAGTGAGAGTGGCAAATTCAGCAGCAAAGGAAAGGAAACTGTAGGCGGTGAGGTAAAAAATCCGTGGACACAACTAGGCACAAGAGAAACAAAACGAGTACAAGCATAAATTGCAATGAAGCGCATGAGTGAGGCGACAATGACGCTGGTTAGCAGACGATCTGGTGGAGAGTTGCTGTTCCAGCTGGCCTTGAAGAGGAAATCAGTAGTGGTGTGCGGATTGATACTGAAATATTGATTCCTCTGATACCTGTTATTTATGTTCTAGAATCGATTCTCATATTAAAATATCGATATTTTAGTAATTTGAGGTAAATTTGTACTTTATCAATAACAGGAAGACAGTGGAAAGAAACTTTATCATTCGGATTATCTAACTTGGAAGGAACTACATGTGAAATATGGCTGTATAAAGGTGTCGCAGCCCCTTAGACCACTGATTTCCTTTCCGATCCGATACCAAGTAAAATTCAGGGTGGTATCGACGATACTGATCTGATTCCGATAATTTGTACAAAAACGTAATGTTTTATTGTATTTCAAATTATAGCTTCATAATGATTACATGACAACAGACTACTTGTTCTTATTGCTTAAAAATGCAGAATTATCATATAGAAATAAAAAACCTGCAGTTATGCGCTATTTGAACACGTTGCCTGCCTGCAGCACTAAAGGACTCCCCGATGCATTTAGCTCATACATGACTGTGTTCAGTCTGCGTTTGCTTTGAGAGAATGAGCAACATCATCATCCTCTGTCAATACCCTGGATCTCACCTGCTCAGGTAAGCCCATTAGTGACATCAGCAATGACTTCAGTGCTGATAGTACGTGTGTTTAACACCTATGTTGTGTGTACGTGAGGAAATGCTGACAGGTGTTCTTCTAAACCCAGATGTCATTTTTGTAAAGAGAAAAAGCAAACAGCATGACGGAGAAGACAACAAAAACACAGACAAGTAAATTCATAAACACCACAAAACTTTCTCCAAGACAGCTCACTATTGGGGCAGTGTTTACTTTTAAGGGAATTATAACGTATATTGTATTTTGTTTAAAAATATTACGTAGGAGTAGGTCATGGATAATAAATATTGATTTTTAAATAACTGAACAGATATGAAATCTACCAGTATCGTTTCTTTAAAGTTTGTGGGAACTGAGCAGCCTGTTGGCATAAAAAGCAGGCGCTCCTGTACCTTATAGGCTGGTGGCCATGATAGAAGTGTGCACATTATGTTCCAGCAGTCTTTGCTAAGATTTAAATTCATGGTTATATTTTCACTTTCATGATGCAACATGTCTCCCGTTAATGTGGCCAAACAACAAACCTTGATTAATCTATCCAGAGGAGGTTACTCCCCTCGCTGCTCTTTGAATCACAATGACAAACTGTAGTTGGGCTGTGATGGTCAGTATTCAATGAAATTGGTGACATTTTAGATACAAACATGGGCGTGAATCAATCAACTCTGTGTTGAAGTGATTGTCGGACTGCTGATGACTGAATGTGTCTGATCAGATCTCAGCATCAGAGTGGTCGTCCTGCCGCTGATTCTGCTGTTGGAGAATATCGTCCCGTATTTCTACTGGAAGGTACTGAACCCATCTTTGTGCTGAGAATGAACGCTTTATTGGGCTGAAAAGACAAGTGACGCAGTCAGTCTGACACATGTGCTGTCATGTCTCGCCGACACATGTGCTGTCATGTCTCTCCAGGCCCGCAGGGGGCAGATGCTGAGCAGACAGGAGACCAGTGGGCTGATTGACACTAACCTCTGTGTTTGTGCATCTCCAGAAGGTCAAAATGAGACCTCATCAGTGTGATTTCCTTTTCTCCTCAAAAACCTGCTGTATACAGTCAGACCCATGCAGCGCTACTGTGAGCAATAAACTGCACAAAAATGATGGGTGTATATAAAGTCTGAAGGTTATGTAAACACGCCAGAATAATTAAATGCCAGAATGTCGTAGCAATTATTTCATGGTTAAAGCTTTACAAGGTTAAGATGCGAACCCAACTTTGGCAGTGTTTCTCCAGTTGTGCCCAATATCATCAGTAAGGAAGTCATTTTTGGCCAAAAAGTAAAAAAAAAAAAATAATAATTTACAATCTTTTCTTGTGCATTTGTTTTAGTTTTCCAATTTGAGTGCTTTTCCTTTTTAAGAAGTTTGCATTTTTAATATGTACACATACACAGAAAATGTTAGTTTCTACTTTGGGATTTTGCTTTTGTTTTGTGATAATCAATTGTACTTTTATGGTATATTGTAACATTTATTACAAGTGCATATTAATATTTTTCTATATTAAAAATTTGAGCTTGAAATACTATGATAGAGATATGATAAAGTTCATCTATGAAGAACACAGGTCACCATGTACAAAGTTGCTAATCAGGGTGTTCTCTAGCAAATGCCAAACATGCTGCTACGTGTTGGGCTGTAAGCAAAACCCCCAACTGTGGACGTAGGGCCCTCATGGAGTCAGTTTCTGACTGTTTGAGCAGACACATGCACATTCGTGGCGTGCTGGAGGTCATTTTGCAGGGCTCTGGCAGTGCTCCTTGCACAAAGGCGGAGGTAGTGGTCCTACTGCTCGGTTATTGCCCTCCTACAGCAGCCTCCACATCTCCTGATGCACTGGCCTGTTTCCTGGTAGCACCTCCATGCTCTGGCCACTACGCTGACAGACGCCGCAAACCTTTTTAACCACACCCCAGATTGATGTGCCATCCTGGCTGAGCTGTGCTACCTGAGCCACTTGTGTGGGTTGTAGACTCCGTCTCATGCTACCACTAGAGTGAAATCACTGCCAGCAGTCAAAAGTGACCAAAACATCAGCCAGAAAGCACAAGTACTGAGAAGTGGTCTGTGGTCACCACCTGCAGAACCACTCCTTTACTGGGGATTGCCCATCATTTACACCTGTTGTCTGTTCCATTTGCAGAACATGTGAAATTGATTGTCAGTGTTGCTTCCCAAGTGGACAGTTTGATTTCACAGAAGTGTGATTGATTTGGAGTTAAACAGTGTAAGTGTTTCCTTCATTTTGAGTGACACCTGCACACATTTTAACAAAACACCACAAACAAGCAAAGGAAATCAGCGAAATGAACTTTTATTTTCAGATGGAGCCAATCTGTAAACCACTTTACATGACAGTTATTTAAAAGTCATTGAAATTACTTAAGTTTAAGAGATCGTTCAGCTTTTTAGGAACTCCTGAATCTACAAACAACATATTACCAACTGTGACACTGACCAAGTCTCAATTCACAAATAACTCCAAAAGATTCTCCTGAGCGCCTGTGTTATGTTTCCATGAAGACAAAGATGCAAATCAACATTACAACTGCACAAAACAAAAGACTTTCCAAAGGATACAAGTAACTCCTACTGAAGAAGGCACAAACTGCTCGATGCTTGTTCGTGTCCCGTCAGCTTCCAAATGAGGAAAGAAATGTTGTTTTAATTATTGTTGTTTATTTATTTATTTTTTATTAATGGTGCTGCTTGTTGGTAGCAACATTAAAACAGCAACAAGCAGCCAAGTTGTGGCAAAAGCGTGAAATGGTTATGAAAACCTCTGATTAAAAACTGGCTCAGCCATGAAATGTTCCGATAAATCCTTCGTTTCTGGAAGTGAAATGTCTAAAATTTTCCTCTCACCTTTACAGACGCCTACATTTCAGTTTGCATGTACAACAATAAATGTTTGACAGTCTGCTGTATGATGTTTTTTTTTAAAACTCTTAAGAGTCAGTGAAACATCGAGTCTCCAGACACCAAAACCACTTTACCATAAAGTAAATGTGCCCACAATCACAGCAGCTCGATTTCATCCTCTAAGCCTGAAACAGTCAAATTAACAACTGCATTAATAAATTCAGAAACACTGGAAACAATTCCAAAGGCTACCTGTTAGTTTGCCCAGATTTGCGGTTTTTCCACTGTTCAAGTGGCTAATTTGTGGTTTTGCTATTTTAATGAATAAACTATCAGGAAAGATGATACAGTTCTGCTGACTTAACAAAAACTGCCTTTTAGAGAAGACACGTGGTTAAAGTCAGATTATTTAGGAAATGTTGCTCACAAGGCAGTTTGTACATTCATGATTCTCTTCCAGAGAAGTAGACCAGCTCTGTGCACTCATGTTTAAACACTAATCAGGAAGTTTCTTTCGTGAAAGTATCAACAAATGTCATCAAAATATGCATAAGATTTGTTACACAAACTCAAAGGAACTGCCAACCTTGGTACAAAAACCTGCTCCTCTATCTTAAAGGTTGAAGAGTGCATTCTCCACCCGCTGCACCCACCTGTTGTTTAAAGTTTTGGGCAGCCAATCAGAAGATACGTAGAGCTAAAGGAGTGAAGCAGCCAATTTCAGACAGAATGAACTGAGAGCAGGCGTCAAGCTCCCTGTATGGGTTCATTATTTTAAGTTCACTCATGCTAAGCTGCTCTGTCTGAAGAAAAGAAAAAAAAAAAAAAAAAAAGCAGAAACAATCGACTTTCAAAAGAGACGAATTCACTGAAGTTTATTTTGAAATGGGGTTTGTTACCTATAAGAACACTTCAGATCTGACATTAACAGATAACACCGCAGGTTGAAACGGACGCACTGTAAAGCTGTCCTGGAACCTAGATGTGGAGTGGTTCTGAAGGAGTGCAATAAATATTTTCAACCAGAATGCAGGCTAGGTTTCACCTGCTTCCCCCTTGAAAACTACTTCAACTTCACTAAAATTCCTTCAATGGCAAAAAGCAATTAAACAAATGTTTTTCCTGCATATGTGGACCAAATCCCCCCCAACCACACAAAACTCAAAAATACGCAAGAGTGCAAAAAACTCAGTGAATGCACCTCCACGAAATGAAACGGGAAGAAGCCCTTCTTGTCCACAGACAACACCAGTAGATGACATAACGGAAAGATTGAGATCATCATTGCACTTCAGTGGATTAGAGTCCGTGGGGGACAGTGTCTCTCTTTCGGTCCCAAAACCACGAGTCCCAGGTCAGCTGGGTCTGCAAGGTGCAGCCTCCGGCCTTGAGGTCGCACGAGTACCCGGCAGGACAGCAGTGCTTCGAGTCAAAGCAGCAGACGGCCTGAGAACAGACAGCGTGTTCAGCACCGAATCAAAGGCTCAAACTTCTTTTATTCTAAACAAACATGAGCTGAATGAATTCAGCAACAATAAAAGTCGATTATCATAGATGAGTAGCAGCACAGCAACATACAGTATACCTGCTAAGTTTTAACATAAACATTCCAAAATCGAGCCTAGAACAAGGACCATCCAAAGTCACTGCTGGAAGAATGACTTCAAATGTAAATGAGTGGGAGGGACCGACAGGTGAACGTACCCTGGGGGAGGGGCAGCAGCTCCACTCCGTGGCGGAGATCTTACAGCAGGTGTCTCGTTTGGAGCAGCGAAACTCGCCCCTGCCATCACACGCCACATCCTCCTCTGCTTCCTTCACAGACTGTTGCACTTCGATCTGAGGGATGGTGCTGAGGTGGTGGTAGTGTTGTTTCTTCTCGCATGTTCCTGTCTGCATGTTGCAGGTGTAGCCCTGAGGGCAGCAGTGCTCGTGGTCAGTGCAGCAAACAGCCTGAGCAGAGACCACGATGCCAGATATTAACATGTTACAGCCACGAGTGAAGCATTTCAGTGATTCCTATTAAGCTTTTCCTTATATACACTATTGAACACTCCAAAAATATGGTCTAAATGGCAATTGTATTTCCTGCTGTAAGCACCAAATTTGTTTAAACAGGAAAGAAAGCCGGTTTTAAATCACTTTTGAAACTGCTGTCTGATTCATTTTAGTCTGTTGTGAAACCAAATGATATTCTACATCAGCAAGACACTGCAGAAATGTCACAGATCAGTTTGTGATCTTATCAAATGAGCACCTTTGTGGAAAACTTGAGGATTTAATGACAGTCTGAACATCACTGATGCACAAACCTTGAACAGCGGGCAGCAGCCCCACTTTCCGGTCTTCAGCTTACAGCAGGTCGTCCCTGAAGCGCAGCTGCTCTTGTTGTCACATTTAACGTCGATCACGGCGCCCGGCTCTGTTACAGCGCTCACTTTGGCGAACCACGGTATAACATGGGAACCTCTGGAGCAGGAGAAGTGGTGGGGCTCACAGGTGTGTCCGCTGGGGCAGCAATGGTTTCCATCTTTGCAGCAGACAGCCTGACGGGCAACACGGGTAACTGACACTCTCCCATTTAAAAAGAATTAATAATTTAAAAAGGGAGGTTAAACTCACGTTTGGCAGAGGGCAGCAGCCCCATTTGTGTTCCTTTTCCATGAAGCAGCAGGTCGTGTCTCTAGGACAGCTGGTCTGGGTGTCGCACATGTTCTGAGTTGGATGGGAAACAGTCTGGCCGAGCTCCTCCTGCAGGGCTGGGATCTTCTTCAGCCAGGCCACACTGAGGCCACCGGGTTTGTCACAGGTGCCCTCTGCCACATTGCACTTGTAGCCTTTGGGGCAGCAGTGCTCGTGATCGTTGCAGCACACAGCCTGGAACGAAACAAGGAACGAGTTCTACATCACAGATGGAAATCCTTCAAAACATCACAAGCTGCTCTTCTGTTGATGAAACAGCTGAAAAGTTATCCTCATTTTATTTGACACCATATGATCCCTCTCTAGTCAGCTTCAAAACACCAACTAATTGTCTACTATAGAGAGTTCTGTTGTTAAACCACTGGTTCCAGGTGTAAATCTCAGTGTTTCCTGTTACATCTTCCCAAAAGAGAAGGAGTATTTTGGATGATTTAACACATCTATACCTTTAAAATCAAACTTTTGAATTTCGATCAGTTTGTCTTTACCTCTGAAAAATCCACTCAGGTATACCAGCTGTCTCAAAGTAGAAGTACAGAAAATCTCTACAGTCACATGAGGGAGAACAGGGTTGAGAGCATAGGTTGACCAAAATTACTGAAACTGTGCAATGAAGTCACTGAAACAGCCACTTTGACGGGCCCATGCCTGATCACCCGGTCAGCTGCCATGTGACTGAAACAGTAATAAGACCAAGTTAGTCTGATACCGGTCTGTGACTGAACAGGGGTCATGTAGACAATTGCACTCAGAAGAGGAGAAAAAAACAAAAAACAAAAAACAGAAAACAAAAAACAACCCTTAAAAACAAAGTTGCTGCAGGATGGAAACTTAACTGCAACGTTACAATGTAGCGCTTGGCAACATCCCATTTTTATGGATTAACAACAAAACAACTGGCTGTTAACCAGTTAAGTTGATTCCTGTGAACAAACAAAGATGAGATGTGGTCAGCCTTCAACTGAGACCAGTTGCCTATTGGAAGGTCAGCCCATGTAGTCAGCTTATGGCCGGGTTGTTGTCCAAAGGTTGAGCATTTTTCAGGCTGGTCAACACATCTAATTGCCAACAGTTACAGACCAAATAAAGATTCAATACATATTCAAATGAAGTTTCCCCGAGTTACAAGCAGGCTGCTGTCCCGATCCATTTTGTGTTTAAACTAGTGTGAATGAGACATTACTGAAATGCACTCAGAGCCACAGCTGACTTCTTATTTTCCATCCTCAGACTTGGGTTTGATTGACATTTTCTAACCATCACACGTCTTAAGCTGGACTGTAATCACTGTTCACATTGGATCTAGGATTACCTGGGGACCTCTAATGAATTTAATTCAGGATTAGGAGGGGCGTGCATGTGTCTAAATCACATAAGGTCCCCTGGTACTAGTAATCCTGTGCAAATAGGGCTTAACAGATGAGTATGAACTTTCAAGACCTGGAAGCTGGAATCTACAAGCCCACTTCCTGAAATAATGGTCAAATCATCTACTACTACTACTACTACTACAGTAAACAAATAACCACCTAGAAATAGGTCATGACCTAAAGATGAGCCACTTATGCACCATGAAAGCACTCCTGGGATCACACAGGAATTAGGAGATGATGCCAGGCAAAAAAAAAAAAGAAAAAAAAAAAAAAAGAGAAATTACAGAGGCTCGGTGGTTAATGTTAACCAAATCATTACAATTTCTGTCGTGTTTGAATGTGCTGTGGATAAAAATAATTCAAGTATCAGTAAGAAAAATTAGAACAGGATGTCAGAAATAACCACAGCTGACACCAAGAACAAACAAACCCTTGGCTATTTGCACATCAAAGTTAAATCTGGCCAGCACATATGATCAGGAGGCAGAAAGGAGATGCTGACCTGTGGTAAGGGGCAGCAGGCCCACTGTCCGGAGTTCATTTTACAGCAGGTGGAGCCCCACGGACATCTGGTCTTCTCATCGCATTTCTCATCCTCCACCTCCAAGGTCAGAGCTGCTACCTTTGTCAGCCAGGAGACGGGCGGAGAGAAGCCCCGAGGGTCATCGCAAGTTTCGGCTGCCAGGTTGCAGACTTTGCTGTGAGGGCAGCAATGGATGTGATCATCACAGCAAACAGCCTGCAGGTACACACACAATACAGACCAGAGGAGTGTTACACTGAACTACTAGAAAGCCATTTAAGCTAATTACTTTTTTTTTTTAATTTACAAATGTAAACTCTTAAGATCATAAGTCTCCTGTGTGAGCGTCCTGGGCAGCATTAATTTAGCACGTCTTTCCAAAGGCGGTGATCGGTACCCGCTCCCTCATCAAGTCTGCTTGTTTAACACACACACCAATTTGCTCTTTGTGAGTCTTTGAAATAAATTAGCATCATGTTTGTTTAAGAATTAGCTCATTGTTACTAGCTCACCCGCTGACCTGCGCCACTGTTCGCCCACTCACATCAGCATGAGTTTGCCCTCCTCAGAAAAATCTGGCTCAGTTCTCTGTTGATGGTTTGAGCCTGATGTACTTGTGGTTACAGGATTTTCATGAGCTCAGCATTTTGAATACTAGAGACAGGACAGAAGAAAGCAGTCCTCACTTCAGCCCCGGATTACCTGACGCAGCGGACAGCAGGCCCAACCGCCACTCGCAGTCTTGCAGCAGGTGGATTTCCCAGGACATGTCGTTGATTTGTCGCACCTGTTGTTACCGTCTTCCAGTAAAGGAAATACCGGCACGTGTCCAAGCATGGGAGTCACGGCGTTACCTGTGGAGTCGTCGCACGTGGAGCTTTTCAGGTTACAAATGGTGCTGTGGGGGCAGCAGTGCAGGTGGTCCTCACAGCACACAGCCTGCAGGGATGAGGAACAACCCAGACTTTGAGTCTGCAAATGAACTACTACATTACCTAAAGGAGAGCCCGTTAATAAGCTCTACTCATGTTTATTAATGGACAATAACTCACATGAGTTACAGAGTCCCTGTCGGAGAGGAGAACAGGTCATTAAAGGAAAAGTGTACCTGTGGTAACGGACAGCAGGCCCAGTCTCCTTTCAGTGTTTTACAGCAGGTGCTTCCGTCAGCACAGGCCACAGAGTCGTTGCAGGGGATGGAATGGACTGAAAGGTCTGCAGAACAATAAAAATCACCACCACAGAAGCTAACATTTTTAGATTCCTGTAACACTGCTTGACTCAATGAAACGTTTTGAGGGGGGGGGGGGGAACAAACAAAAAAAACAAACAAACAAACAAAAACAAACAACCCCCAATGCAGCACAACCAGATATACATTTCACACATTCTTCTTCCTCCTTGTCAAATTTTGGCACAAAGAAACCCAATCACTGACAAGATGAAAACAGATGGAGAAAAGCTTCTTCCCACTCCACTCAAAATGTTAAAGTTGACGAATTTCAGTCAAAAACAGACTAAGGCAACATTACTGAAGATATTAATAAAACAGTTTGTATTAAAACATGTTTTTCTCTGAAACACATTAAATATTTAGAGTTTGATCACAGAAGATGTGACGATGGCCGTCTCACTCACCTTTTCTCTGGACTTTAAGGAGCTCGGTTGCAGCTTCTGCCAGTGTCATGGTGGGGTTTCTCTGGGTAGACACACAGGTCCTGTGGTACAAGTCGCACTCTGAGCCTGCAGGGCAGCAGTGGATGCGATCTGAACAACAGATGGCCTGAAAGAAGAAGTAAATCTTTGCAATCAATGATTGTGTGAAAGTGAGAACTCAACCTCATCAAATACTGCATTTCCTCCCCCGAGCTGCTCTCCTGGGCCTTTACTGCAACTACCTTCATTTATGAGTCTGTGTGCTTTCAGTAACTGAAAAGCTATTGAGCAGAGCTCAGGTGAAGGACTTGTACACTGAAGAATATCCCTGCCTTGATTTTGCAGTGTTTTTGGCTAATTATCCATTCATTTTGAAGCACTGTGCAGCTTATTCTGGTTTTTCAGTCTAATGATTACTTCATTCATTGCAACGTCGTAGCATTTCTTTCAACCTTGTATTGAGAGTTTCAGAGGAAAACTACCAAAAGGAAGTCTTAACACTTTGAATCAACTCTCCATAAGTATTTCAAATTCATAAATGAAAGGAAATTCCAACAGGGACTCATTACATTTGAGCAAAAGCAGCCTTCAGTTTGTTAAATATGCCACTTATTTGATATCTAAAAAGACTAAACACCTGATAAAATATTAAAAAGCTTCACAATGACCTTTAGATAGTAAGAGTCGGTCTCTCTGCAACTTCCTGTTCATCTAAACTGACCCCATCGCTCAGTGACTTCATACTACTTACACTGGGCATCGGGCAGCAGCCGTAGGTGTCGTTGATCATCTTGCAGCATGTGGTGTGATCAGGACAAAATGACTTCTTGTCTGGACAACTGACTGAGGGGATGACAGAAGTGACACGGGATCCATCAATAAAATCCTATTCAATGTTTGTTTTTTTAATTTAAAGATAAGACTTACTGTCACTGGCTACAGCAGGGATCTTCTTCATCAGGGGCATGACTGTCTCGCCACGCCTACACCGTGAATGCTTCAGGTCACACTCCATGTTGGCAGGGCAACAGTGAAGGTGATCCTCACAGCATGTGGCCTGCATGAGATTCAAACACAGGATGTTTTAGCCTTATTAGGAACCCTCGTGTCAATGTTTTCCTCCAATCAGTACAGTAAGAATCAAACCGCTTTAATTCAGCAACATAAAAATATGAAAAACGCTGGAAACTGTTGGAATACTTGAATTCAAATCACTTGTACTACATCTACAGCATTTATATGCACCTTTGGGTATGGGCAGCAGCCGTACTCTCCGCTGGGTAGCAGACAGCATGTGAAAGCGTTCGGGCAGCTGAGTTTCCCATCAGGGCACGATATTGAACTGCCAATGGAAGCTACAAAAGTAGTAAGACCTAAAAAGAAACGCAGTCTTCTGTTAACACTACAGTATCATCTGCATATAAATTTAGAAACGTTGTAAGTGAATACATGATCATCACATTTCACTGTTTATTTATATGATGTAATCCCCACCTGGGTTATTCCCTCTCCTTCTAGCAGGTAGTTTGGCCAGCAGAGGGAAAGACTCCAGCGAGGCAGAGACGCACCGCAAGTGAGCGATATCACACTTTGTTGCCTCAGGGCAGCAGTGGCGCCTATCGTCACAACACACCGCCTGCAGAGAGAAGATCACGGGATCGTGAAGCACACCAGCACTATAGATATACAACTGGGACATGAAATATGAACAATTGATGCACGTGAGACATTTAAATTCAGTATATAGAGTAGTTTGAATAAAACAGGCAGATGTGCCTTTCGATTAAAGCAAATGAGCACCGATTGCTGAATGTGCAGCCAACAAACACCATCTGATTCCAAGGAAATGCTGCAGCTTCAATGAGTTTTAAATACTGAAGAAATTCAAAGTGTTTCATTTGAAGCAAATAAATGTCTAAAACTGGTCATTTCACTCTGAACAGACATTTTTATTTTATTTTCCACCAGGAGTATACAGAGATTATAAGACTTATATTCACAATATTAGCCATTATCAGAATATGAAAAAGCTGAAATGTATAAAGTTTTCATTTTTGGTGTGTCTAAATCAAATCCTAAGTGTCTGACATTTTAACACTTACTTTAGATTCTGACATTTCTATAGTTTTAGCTGCTTTCAGGATCGATCAAGTTCCCCCTCTTTGCCTTTGCTGGCAGCTGCAGAGTGCTGAAATCAGCAGCTATGAGTGATTCAGCAAAAGGTCAGACTCACTAATTTTGACTTCAGAAAATGTGCAGTCTGTGGCAGACGTGCAGTGTCATTCTGTGTTGCCAGCCAATTTGTTCATGAAGCAACTTCAGAACCACACAACCACCCCTCAATGAGTGCTGAGGCAACATGATTGAAGACATTGGCAAATAGATGCAACACAGACAACCACAAGTCTAATGACACTTTTTTTTTTAAAATATAAAATGAATGATCACTGCTAAGGATTTAAAACAGAGTCATCACTAAATGAAGTGTCAGGAATTTGTGGTAGTAGAAGGGTTGCAAATAAACTTAAAGATTCTTAAAGCTGTTGCATTTTCTAAGCCTTTACATCTAAACATGGTCTGAAACCATTTGAATGTGTGTGTGAAACTTGAGGCAAACTGAAGTGCATATTAAACATACAGTGTTGGTGAAGAAATACATCACATTTCATTTTAAACAGCTACAAACTTTCATAGGCAGCCTGTCAAGAACTCAGCTGATCATTTTTTGGTGTGAGAAACCTGGGGCTTGTGTAGAGTCAGTGATTTTAGGCAAAGAGATGGCGTTTGTGCTTATGTGTGTCACCTTGGCTAAGGGGCAGCAGCCCCAGGAGCTGTCAGGAAGCTGGCAGCAAGTCGTGTCATCCGGACACTCAGACACCTGGTCCGGACAAACGACTGCCTTCACCGTCTCCTCGAGCTGAAGCAATCACATCACAGCCAACGCATACAAATGCAAGGACGCCACATGGTCAAACAAACAAAAGGTTTAAAAACACTCAAATATGAACAGTTCAAGGAGTCAATAATCAATTAAAACACACTGAAAATCACTTCAGCCACAGCGTAATATACATATATAAAATATTGATTTTCCTTGCAAGACAAGAGAACACACAACTGCTGGAGAGATTAAGTCCGTGGAAACATCTTGGCGCTGCACCAAGAGAGATCAGGTAGCGTGTGTGGGGGAGGTCGAAGCATCTGTGCTTGTAGTGCCATCGTGAAACCAACACTATTGCGCCTCTCAATACTCTGCACGTTTCAAAAACATTCCCCGCACCTCTTCAAACACCTTATTTACCCATGAGAGTCATTCTTTTACGTCATTTGTTTTTGGGGTGGGAGGAACGTACAAAGCAGATAAGACAATTCCATTATTTTGACAAATAACACCAACTGAGCAAACGTATCCAGATAACAAAACTGAGCTTGGTTCACTGGAGATTCCTTTAAGATGATCTTTCCATGGTTGTTGGTGGGGTAATCAACGTTAAGATGTCTAAAGACAGAAGCTAAGCTTTGCCCCACCCCCTTCACCTGAGGCTGGGTCGGGAGTCGTGTCATCCACGGCAGGGAAACTGTTTTATTGACGCATTTCTCATGGACCAAATCACACAGCGTGCCCTCGTAACAGCAGTGGAGGTGGTCTGAACAGCACTCTGCCTACAGGGGGATTCAAAGAGAGTGTAAGAGAAACAGGTTCACTGAGAGGAAACTTAAAAATTGAAATCTATTTTCAGTGACAGCAAACTGAAATTTTACAATACTATTTTTTCCAAGCAGAACATAAATACTGAGTTTTATTAGTTTATAGTACAAAAGTCATATAACATATACTGTCAATAATATGCATAATGTTCAAGGTCATTCTATGAAACTGTATGTTGACTGTTTTGTTCTATTAAACTTTCTAATACTATATTTTTAAAATAACTCCCCTTCAGCGTGTGAACAATATGAACAAGCTCTCAAAATTAAAACACCGTCAGAAGGAAGACGGCCCTGCACAGAGGGAAATAAAACCCCGTGTCATCCTCGATCAGTACAATGCACACTCAGTTCTCAGTGAGAGCGCTTTATGGCTGAGAAACTGCCCGAGTTTGAGCGCTTGCCTTATTCACAGCTAGCTTCTAGGAAAATTGTACTCTACAGCTCACATGCTGCAGGTTTCCAGTTTTACTCATTTACTGTGGCAGAACAAGCCAGAGTGGTGTCTGTGGGTAAAACTGCCATGTGACCCCGCCTACTGCGCCATTGAAGGCCCTCTAATGACTGTTTTAAATGGATTTAAAAAAAAAAAAAAAAAAATACTCATTTCCTCATTAAGTAGTCTTCATAGTCATGAGAAAGTTAATTTTCACAGGACCCTCTGCCGTCATGTGAAAAACCAAGTACAAGCCGTGACTCAGCAGATCGCTACAGACAACAACTTAAAGTAATTCTTTTCTACATGACCATGAGGCTTGGACTTTGCAGTGGAGGAATTTTTCCCACTCTTTGCAGTGTTGCTACTGATCCTTGAAGCATGTAGCATTGATTTGTGCACAGCTCTCTGAAGGTCCTGACTATATTTCTGTTGGGTTGAGGTCTGCAGCTTGACCTACTACTTCAATAACTTCAGTCTTTTCTTCCCCCCCCCCCCCATTCTGTTGTAGATTTGCTGCTGTGCTTACAATCATTGTGCTGGTGCATGATCCAGTTTGGACCACGCTTTGACCATTTGACTCTAAAGTACAACGCTGTGGCTGTGAAACAAACCCTCAGCTCTCCACCACTGTGCTGACATTTGGAATGACGTTTTAAGATTAGAGTTGATAAAGCATGTACTTGGGGCTGGAACACGTGACCCTGAACCCTCCCTTATTTATGCTGCAACAGGCCTAGGCTGCTGGGCACGTCCCATGATTGTTGATGATGTTATTAATAATCCCGGGCTTTCTTCCACAGAGCATCTTTTGTCACGTCTTCCTCCCCTTACACCCGACCGGTCGTGGCAGGTTGCTGCCCCTCCCTGAGCCTGATTCCAGGAGTTTCTTTCCTGTTCAAAGGGAGTTTTCTTTCCCACTGTTGCCAAGTGCTTGTTCATCAGGATCATCCAATTTTGGGAATTTCTTTGAATCTTTGTAGGGTCTTTATCATATAATATAAAGTGCATTGAGGTGCTTTTGTCATTTGGACAAATTACATCAAACGTTATTTATACAGTGCCAAACAAACATTGTTCTGCAACTCTTGTGGAATATTCACATGCAACTCTGCAAACCTAAGCTGTGCTGCCATGACAAGGCACTTTTTCCTGACACTTGTAAACAAGTCATACCCGTTTCTTTTTTTTGTTTAGTTTCTTTTTTTTGTAAATTGTGCGTCACAAACTTAAACACGCTGAGGCATGTAGAGTGTGAGATGCAGATCTTGGTTTTTTCAGTTTAAGCACTGGACAGTCTGATCTCATGGTAAACGTGCCAGGACCTGAACTCCTGGGAAGACTGGCAACTGTATCCAATGTTTTCCACTTATGTAGAATGACAGACTTCAGACTGACTGGAAACAGCTTTCTAACCCTCCCTTAGATTGATGGGCAGCAACAACTGCTCCTCTGAGATCATTACTGGCATCTTCCCTCTTCAGCACTGTGTTAAACACACAAATGCTTTAGACTAGCAAACTCTTCGTCGCTCACACTCACTGATGATCGATGAATCAAGTGCATTTGGTTAGCAGTACCTGGCTGCTACCCTCGTCTTAACTTATAGAAGCACGATAGTGTACTTGCTTAATATCCGGGTCAGACACAACAGTGACGGGTAACTCACACGTGGTAGCGGGCAGCATCCGTATCCCCCCTCAGTATTCTTGCAGCAGGTGTTTTTGTTCTGACATGTGTGTCCATTGGGACAGACCAGCGCCGAGCTCAGACCCAGCAGGGCCAAACACAAGAACCCCATCTGCAGAGCCTGAACACAGGGAACAGAGGACAGGGCTGTGAGCGATTAATACAAACCCTTATTGGGATTTCTGGGTTTTATTCTGGCTGTGAGTGAGGAGGAGGGAAACAAAGACAAGTATGTTTAGCAGCTGCAAAAGAATTTCAACTGAAACTGGATTTCGCCACTAAACAAACCCAGATCCTTCTGAGATTGACGTTCCCTTCATATCATAACCACTTTATGTCCTAAACAGCAGCACTATATATGGCAAGTCACGAGTTCAAGATTCAATTATTGGCTTTTGCAAAAACTCAGACTGAAAGTGACTCATGTCTATTATTTTTAGTTGGCCGCTAGCATCATTAACGGCCTTTTAACTCAAGCAGAAAGAACAGAATAACAGACTTAACTGACTACTGAATATGTAATGAAAAAAGATTTAGTGCTAATTTAAGACTGATTTTCCTCTGGACTGTTGTGATACAGCAGTGACTTTTTGTCCCAGAAAAACTAAACTCATTGGACGTTCCTGCTGGCTCATGTCACAAGTTTGTGATAACATTTTAATTGCTATACATTTTACAGGCAGTGAATTTAGGTTTCATCCATCCAGATAAAATAAATAAATAAAAATAAAACGTTTTCCATGTTATGAAGGTGGTTCACTTCTTCCTGGAGTACATAGCCATGATGTTATTATCTGCTCCAGTGCCGGTTAGATTCCACATTAGAGAACAGGTAAGAAATCGCCACCTACAGACCAATTAAGTCTTCAGAAAAATGGCATCACCGTTCCTGGAAGAGCTCTTGTTCATCTTGTTTGTCTTTGTTTTTCCCTCAAATGAGCATCAGGAATGAAAACAGATTATTAATACCACTTTGATGATACACACTGCTAAAGCACAGGTTAAGAGGAAATCACGAGAAAACACAAAACACTCTGAAATGTCTCCTAAAAGTCTGGATGCTTCTGACAAGGTGGCAATTCTGGGCTGAAACCACAAATATTTCCTCAAATCTAATTTAATAACAGTATGCACTGTAGACGGCAAGCAGTAGCATCTGTGGCAGGGATTTTAAACACAGACAGCTGCAGTTTATGGAGATGCTTTAATTTTAATACAAGTGAAAAGTTTGCCTCATGCAGCCTCTTGGAATTTAATTTTGTTAACAAGAAGCCTTCAAGTAGTCCAAACATAAACTTTAACTTTTATAAAAGCTTAGCCTTATAGAACTCCTCATTTTACATCTAATTACAGTTCAATTCAAAGATGACGCCTGAAACTGCCCAAATATGAAAATGAAGCTTGCTTTTACAGCTCTGTCACTTGAGACCAAGTTCCAACAAATACATTTTGCTGTAGTTAAGGACTTCTCATCTTTTGCAGATTCTGTACTGAGAATGAAAAAGGGATGTTCAAACTGAACACATGCAACATGTTTAAAATAGCGTTATGCGTCTGCTCAAAAAGTCAATTTTCACTTTCATATTTTTGTACTAGGTTAGCGTTGGGGTGCTTCTTTGCACTTCTCACTCTGGATAGCGTCCATATCTATTACTAATGGCATTCAGCTCCACTGCCATGAGCACAGGCAAATGCAACCTTTCAAATTTTATACACCTCAATACCCATTTAGCTTCATGAGTTCCTGTTCTACTAGAATCATTGCATTCTATTATTTAAAGATTTTACATCATTGCATTTCACAGGTTTCTATTTATTCGTTTCCTTCTCTTTTCTGTAACCTAAGTAAGACACCTGGTTTGTAATAGAGACATGTTCAATTTCAAAGATCCTATAGTCCCTCTTAAGTAGCTACTAGTACTGCAAAAAAGGGGCGCAAGAATTAAAATGCAATGTTTCAAAAAGCACAAAACACAAACTGTTTCCGTGCAGTTTGTCTCTCAGCCCGATCTCCAATTAGAGCGACTGTCCCACAATAAAATATTAATGTGCAATACTCTCAGAGATCGAGAAGATGTAGAGAGAGAGAGAGGAAAAAAAAAGCAAACATGAGGGGAAGATTAAAGATTAGGGACTGCTCAGGATGCTGACATTTGATAAATTTCCTGGCTTATGTTAACTACGGTCATATACAGATATCAGAGAGCAGATCTATAAGTAACGTGCTGCTGAAATGATCTGATCAGTTCATAAGATCTTTCAGCTCTGGATTGACATGCTGTTCATGGCATTTAGTTCAAGAGTACAAATCATTAAAGTAAATTCAAACAGGTAATCCACTTTAGTTTCACCTGCCAGATTCTAACTTTTACCAAATCGTCACACTGGCTACAAACTAGAAAGGAGTCATGATGGCTCATATAGTGGCTCAATCTTAAAATTTCTACCCAGTTTTTTTTAGGTTTAGAAAAACTGTCCCAGGTCATTTTGGGAGCAGTGACCCAAAGTGTTTGTGCAGGTCAATCCTGTCACCTGAGCAGACAAGTAAAACCTCAGGCATCGCTCCAGCCCAGCATGATGTCAGTCACCTGAGACAAGGTGTGAAAGGACAGCATTCCCTCTCTAAAACTGAAGAAGCCTCTTGGATGACAAGTAAAATATCTTATCTTATCTTATACCTTATGAAGTCCAGCTGCCTTATATTCCAGATCTAAAGACTACCATGACCCAGATAAGTGGGAACCTACACAGACAACCTACACACGATGCCAAAGGGCAACGCCACGACACCCATTTAAATCTAACGTGGGAGGGCAATATAAACAGATCTGGTACATAGCAAATGAAAATAGATAAGAAAAGGCTGCACCAACAGGGCAATAATGGAAGGTCTAGTTTCTTTGTAAACACACGTTAAGCTCACATTTCAATAAAAGACAAACATTACTGTCAACGACTTTAAAAGAACAACTGCAACAATTCATAACGTGAAAGATTGCTAAACTTCACCTGTGCATGTCAATATATGGTAAAGCTCGGGGATGGGGTTTAGTCGCTTTCCGCCCACTTTTTATTTATTTTTTCTTAAATATACAAACTAAACCTTTACAAAGCCAATACTGAAGCAATATATACGAAATAAAACATTTACCATGATTAGCAGGAATCCCGAGAGCAGGTAGAAAGAGTTTAATCGTTATCAGCACTGGGCACTTTTCTGCATACTCCTGAAAAACAGCAGTACACTGTCAGTCGATGTTATGCTTTTAGGAAATACTGCATTATACTACAGGGGGTAAAAGGAGTGACAACGTTTAAGAAAAATAACCTGGAACTTATAAAAAAATACCAGCTGAAAGGAGAGAGCTTTCTAACGCTAGCTTTTATAATAAAAATACAAGTTAGCGTAGCAGGCTATGCAGCTAAAAACAAAGCTAGCTGGTTTAAATGAAGTTAAGCGGATGTTCTCTTTTCTTTTTTAAATCAACGTACGAAACGGAAATCATCCTCTTACCTCGTCTGAAGGGCCACATACATGTACCGTTTGATGTGGTAGTGACAGCCTGCAACACCCAGAACGCACAAAGCAAACAGTCTCTGATAATACTTATATCACATGACGCCTGACACGTGACTCTACAGGCTAGCGTCTTAAAGGGCTAGTACACTGCAGCGTTCCAGGGTTAGGAAAATAAAACAACAACAACAAAATAATATAAAAATAGAATATTAAATTAACTTTTTATCTATTGCATTATTTGAATTTATGAAAACTTACGACACTGGCACAGATGTGGTAAGAATTCAAACATCACAAAGTATTGAAAGCATGTTTTCTGTAAGAGAAGGACGTTATAACTTAAAGCGGTGGGCAACGTCAAACCTACGGTTTTCGTGTTTGTGTGTGTGGAGAAAAACCATGGCAAAAGTTGCTTAAAACACATAGTCTTTATTAGGTATAATAAAAAGATAATGATGGTTGAATTTCAAATAATATCTCTGTTTATTTAGTTTTTATATTCTTTTTCTACTCAGATTTTGCAGTCAACATTCCAAAATTGGAGGTATTTTCCTTTGACGTGCGGAAATAAAATTGCGGAATTATAAAAACTATATATGAACATTTTTTTGCATTTCAAACAGTGCATAAATTATGTGCAAATATGTATGTTGATGTTCCTGAAGTTTCTATCAACAAGGAAGCTGAAACAATACTTCAGCACTTATGAAGAAGGGGTGGGATTAATTATATGTGCATACTTTCCACTCCTAGATGATTAGAATATGTAAAACATTATTGTTATTATTGTATACTTTATTTTGGTATTTTTTTTAAATCAAAGTAAATTAATTTATTTTACTTTATTTATTTGAAAACACTTAGTTTTCTAAATATTTGACACCTCAGGTTTACTTTATTCTTTTATCTTCTTGTCAGGTTTTTTGCCTGCTTCCTGATTTAGTTTGGCAGTGAGTTGTGTTTTGTGTCTTGTATTTAGATTTCCTTTAATTGTATCTTTGATCTTGATTCATTTCAGCTGTTTCTTTTCCTCCAGCTGTTTCCTCTCTCCTTGATTGCCCTCAGTATCCTTTGGTGGAACATCTATTTGCCATCTATTTGTTCTGCTACATTCACTTTTCCAACAGCTTGAGTTTGCTATTTTTCTTCATGGACTTTTGACCTAATTAGAGGCTAGTTTTGATGTGGTTTTTTAAAATAAAATCCCAAACACAGACAGACCGTGGGAACAAATTTATTTCTATTTTGTCTCATGTACAGAAAGTTGAATCAATTTACAGTTTACAAACAACTGACCAGGTGAATGAAGCCGATGATTTACTGCACAGGATGAAGGCCTACAGCTCAGTCCTCTTGATGCTCTTAACTATCAAAAACATCCAGCGCGGTAGGTTGCCAGATTTGAAGTTTCCTCTCAGGGATTCGGTGTCAAATCGTTCACCAAATCTGAGAAAACACTTCATTAGCAAAACATAAACAAGCAAGAAAAGCCACGATTGCACAACTCAATACTTTCCATATCTGGTTCAAAAAAATAAAAGTACACTTACAGCAGTGGGCGCAACATTTTAGCAGGATTCGATTCATGGTTGTGCTATTCTTCAGACTTTGATTTACATCACATTTTCAGCTTGTTCCATAGGCTACTGACACAGGCTTATTTATGAACAGCAAGCGAATGGTACAAAGGACCAACATGTCAGCATGACTTTTATACAGCCGTTTTCCCTTCATAAGCAACCCATTACTCTGCAAAAACCACCAACAAAACAGCCGTCAGCCTCGCTAAGTTCACAGTTGTTGAATAGGCAGTGGTGATGCTAGTAACAGCAGGAGCGTGTTGGTCAGTATGTTATCGTTGTAAACATTTACGACCGGAAGTGAATTTCGTTAGAACTGGATTAAGGGAAAAGTCAGTGTATCTTCATGAAGTTCATTTGGCAACACAGTCCAATGCATCATTTTGTGCCAAACATCCTTGTTATCAATAATAATAGTTAAAAAAAAAATCATTAAAAACACCCTATTCTACATTTAACATGCACATTGTATACACATAAAATCTCATATAGATCATACCATTTACAGGTTCCGTGAAAAAAGAGGATAGATACAAGAAATTAAGATATCCAAGGACGGAATAGCCGCAAGAAAAGTTGTCTGTTTTGGCAGGCATGCTCCCCAGAGTGACGCGTGTTGCTGTTGTTGTTACCGCAATGCAGTGTGCTTATCAGTGCCTGCCGATCTCGACAGTGAGTTTAGGTGACCGCTGACTGCATTTTAAAAAGGGACCGGCATGCCTATCACTCGATCCTATGTGAAAGAAGGCACTTACAGGAGAGAAGTGGTTCAGGCTCTGTCTACAGGCAACCCCCGCTGATCTCAGTAGGATATTTCAGAAATAGTAAGTCTTCAAGTAAAAGCGGTTTGGAACTACGCTTGTTTCTTGGCGTTTAGGGGTTGTCTAGCAGGAACTTGTAGGGGAGGGCTTTTGGTGCCTTCTGTTTATTTCATACATTCATATGCATGCAACCTTCCTATACCAAATGGTCTTTCAAATATCTGGGCATGTATTTACACAAGATAAATGGGTCATTCCATATAAAATCAGCCCAATCTGAAAAAAATTAATAAAAATCCCACCTGACCCCCTCAGAAGCTTCCACGGCTCCCCCCCTCAAATTTAATGAGGCCATGCAAATTTTTACCTTCATTCTATGAATACTGTCCAAGTTAAAGGCCCTCAAAGTACACAGGGTTTTACTTGAGTTTTTAACATCATAAATGTTAGAAACTGTGAGCAAATCAATGTTACACCATCTCCAAGTGTCACAGTCTAAAAGCCATAATGTTGCTTTTGATGAACACAGATTTTACATAAACAACTCTAATATTTCACCAGAGAAATGACATTGGTGCTCACATACTGTGTTTAATCATTTTGATAAATCACATTTATCCAAAAATTTTAGGTTCTAAAGAAGTTTTTCAAAATCCTTGAGGGTCTCCAAATTTTCTTTGGCCATTACTTTTGTTCAGCGCAAGTGTTCTCATATGTTGACCTATACTCAGAGCATCCACTCGTCCTGAGACCCTTTGGGTTGGGACAGAGTGGGTGTGAAATTGAAGTTTTTAACAGAGCTTTAATGTGAATTAAAAAGAGCTGAATTTTAAACCACTCTTAGGTATTTTGAGGGCTTATAACTGTAAAAATATCCACAGTATTAAGGTGAAACCTTACATTTCTTTATTACAGATGCTAAAGTTGTTGTATAAAAAATCTGCTGATTCAAACAGGGTCAGGTGGGAGGCACTGACTGATTTTTACTGGAATGACCCAAATGCAACAAAGTCTCTGCTGGCCAAAACTCTCACCAAGAGAAGAAAGGCAGAAATGCGTACTTTTGGCAAAATTGTACAGTAAATCACTGTGATATTACAGAGAAGATGGAGATGATGCTGAACAGTTCAAATCATTACTATTTGAGTAAGTAATTACAACACATGAACACAGTACAGGAGGAAGAGGAAATCAAGAACATCCCTGAAGGAGCAAAATGCAAGTTGCACGTTGGACTTTATAATATTTCTGTAATCTGTTCACAAGAGCTCAATGACAAACTTTCACAACTTCCTCAGACAGGGAAGCTGTTTCGGAGTAGAGAAGAAAAAAGAAGCTCACATCTTCTACAGTTATTGTGAGCATCTGGGTAGAATTAGTCCAGGGAAAAAAAACCTAATTTGCCAAGAATTCCCATCAGTCCCATAAAAAATGCCATCCACTTCCAAATACTCTGTAAGTATCAATCAATAAGTTATCAAATTATTAGCAAGTGCTCTATTCTTATATTTTGCTCTATAAAATGGCTATTTCCACAGTCAGTATGTGCAATGGCTCAGACCATGGTTCAGTGACAGGTGATAGGAGACGGGGTTCACAATAAACTGGACAGATTTCAATCTACAACTCAGTGGAAACCAGAGGGATTAACTGACAGTGAGGCTACGAGAGTAACTGGCAAACACAAAGGTCAAACAACAACCTGGATATGGATTGGTGAAGCAGTGGCTGTGCTTATTGTGACCTCCCTCTCGGTGATGTGAAAGACTCCTCTTTCACAAGGCTGTTATAGTTCCAGTGTTCATTCAAAAAGCTCACTTCCTGGGGTGGAAGACCATCAGAGGCCTGTCTTCGATCTTCTGCCAGGGGCTCTTCTTGTTCTCATCTTTGTCCTCGGAATCATCCTCTGGACTGGTCATGGAGTCGCGGCGGTTCTCGCTGTTGCTGCTGCGGCTGCTGTTCACGCGGCTGCGTCCTCTTCTAGGGATGGTGGATCCTCGGGAGGACGGGCCTTCGTCCAGAAGAGGGGTTAGGGAGTTCTCCTCGGGAGAGACGGGACGTCCCTCACTGCTGCTGGGCTCGCTGTGGTCAGGGTAGGCCAGCTTGGAGTAACTCTTCCCGCCGCTGCTGCTAACACCGTGGCCCTTCCGTCCTCCCGTCCCCCAGCGCTCATCTTTTCCCTTTCTATTTCCAGCTGATTTTCGCTCTTGGGCCTCCAGAGGCGGTTCCAGGTTGACATCCCGTGGAGTGCTGCTGGAGCCACCTCCGAATCCACCACCGCCACTGAGGTCATTCCCAACATCTATGTAGGAGTGGCGCACGTGAGCATTAGCTCGACCATCAAGAGAGATGAACCACGCCCTCGGGTGTTGTTTAACTCCAAGTTCCAGGAGCTTCTTCTCTGTCAGAGCTTGCAGTTCCCCGTTCATTTGAGCCATGGTGGAATCGTTGAATAGCACTGGGATGGTCACAGGTCCCCCGGATGAGTCAGATGCCCAGCTCGGTTCTTCAGAGTCGTCGCCTTGAGATCCTCCTTGCTGTTGCTGCTGCTGGCCTTGTTTCTGGGAGTGGTGGTGATGGTGCTGCTGGCCCCCTCCCATCTGTGTGCCATCTTTGTCGTGATCCTTCTGGTCCTTGCCATCTTTGCCAGAAAACTCAGATGGCAGGCGCATGTAGTGGGCGGGGATAACCAGGGTTGGCACCATGCTACGGTACATGTTCTCCTTCATCTGGTCAATGGAGCTGCAAAAGATGATCTGACCTGGTTGGGTGTTGAGGGAAGTAGGTC